ATGCCCTCAGCTCATGTACTGAATGGTTTCAAGAACAGAACTTTGCCTACTTCCTCAGCACCCTCTCATAGTGTAGCACAGAAACTAGCACATAGAAAGAGCCTAGAAAAGGTGTGAGGAATTAAATAGAAGATTGGATCAGCACTTAGTCTATTATAGACACATCAAGGACAGCGTCACCATAGATCTCCAAGTCTCTATTATTCTTATGTAAAGGAAAGGGCAGAACAGGAAAGTTCTGGAACTTTAAGAAGACAAGCCACTGTTAGTGGTACAAGGCAGTGTGGAATTGTACCGGACCCAGGATCCTCATCAAGTTCAAAAGGTGGGATAAATTCCTAAGACTCTGTTTTTCAGTTTATTTATAGACCCATCAAAATGGTTTGAGTCTTTTTTGCTTTCCATTCCTCCTTTAAGAGTACCAACACACACAGAACTATCTATATTCTTTTTGATTTGTCCTATGATTACTGAATTCACCTCTCCCTTTACCCTCATCCCAACCAAAGCTGTATTCTTTCAGTTCAGGATCCTAAGGAGCCGGGCTGACGACAAGAGGAAGAAGTCTGCTCTCTTTGTCTCTGAGCTGGTTATACAGCTTGGTTGGTCAGTCTTGGTCCCTATGTATTCCTCATCCATACACCTGCTTGCCACTCTCTGCCTTTTCTTCAAGATGTTAAAAACTTGCAATAAAAAACAAATACAAAATGCTGTAATTAATAGCCAATTCCAAGCCAACCCAGCATCTCGACTAATAAACCTCAACACTTGGAAAAAGAACAATAAATTCTGCCCCTCTATGGTTCTGAGGTGGTCTCTTTTATATACTCCGTATGTGTGTGTATGTATGTGGGTAAGTGTGTCTACATATATATTTATTTTCCTTTATTTCCCATCCAGGGAGGGGCAGAATAATGAACTGCGTGCGTCAGGGAAGATGAATCTGAGATACTAGGGAGCAGTGCAGTAAAAAGATTAAAGTGTTATTATTGTTGGTTTTTTTCCCCCCATGGTCCATTGTGACAGCTCGACCGTCATCTGTAAAAAATGTCTCAGCGAGAGATAATCATCGGAAACTCAATAAAGCGTCAGGGGGAGCCTCAGCCCCCATCAATCACTGGGTGCCTGGAAAATTTCAGCCCTCTGTCTCCCTTCCTGCTATCCATATAAATGTCTCTAATATATTTTGTGTGGTGTGTGGGACCTATCCCTGATTTGGAACTTTTGATGAAAAAATATTTATACACAAAATATGTAAATCCGTTAAAAAAATCACAAGACTAGTTCTTTAGCACCCCATTCCACTTTTTATTATTTTTATAAATGCAACAGAATTTATTCTTTTTAATAAAACATGTCAACTAGTCTATTTCTTTTTTCTAGTCTAAGAAATATATATACGCACACAGATAAACACAGACATATAGGTTTAGAGGGCTAAAAGGATAGAAACAATTAACTAATGGACTGATAAACTTAATACTAAAGCTAGCCAAAATGTCTGATGGACTTGGACTGACAGGACATGTCCATGCTTGTGACTTTACAATGGCCAAGGCTGCTGAGAAAGGACCTGTAGAAGCAATGGCCCTGCTTTTGTGACAAGGCTATAAATGGGAATGGACAATGACAGGGAAAAAGCAGGGACACTGATTAAAGAAGAAAAACTTGCCAAAGAGTTTTTAGCTTACTGGTTCCAAAGCCTTCCAAGACGCTGGACAAAACAGAGGTTCTAAGCTGGCAATATAAGTTGAACCGGTTGTTGAATTCCATAAAAGAAGAGACTGTTTCTGCTGGCATCTTGTCTCTGCCCTAGTTTCCTTTACTGCCTATGTTACAGAGTTGCTGTAAGATACAGTAAATATCAATAGATGGTACCTGCTGTTCCTATTATCACTGAGCTCTCATCATTATCTGCTCCTGCTTCTCTACTCTTGAGGCATCAACCTCGGCAGGCCCTATTTTCTAGGGTCTTCAAGCTCCTCCTTCAAGGATTAAGTCCAAGAATTTTTGCTCTGGTTCCAGTCTACTACTGTTACATGTTTACTGTTCTCTACTCTCCTTAAACTCTCTGATGCATAATAAGTGATTGCAAAGACCATGGCCTGTATCAGATGCACCTTAGTCTCCAGAGTGATACCATTGCTCTTCAATACTTTGGAGAGGTCCTTAACATCAGACTTTCCCATCGCAATATGTCTTTTAATTTTCTAGTTGCTGGTGCCAAGAGTGACTGTGCAGCCAAGCAAACTAAAGCTGTAAACAATCTCAATCTCTTCACCATCCATCCTGATGCTGCCAATTGGTCCACTGGTGAGAATCTTTGTCTTCTTGATATTGAGCTTCAATCCATACCAAAGGCTGCAGTCCTTGACCCTCTGCAGCAAGCATTTCAGGTCCTCCTCAGTTTCAGCAATCACTTGTTATGTATCAGAGAGTTGGACAATGACTAGGAAGGACAGAAGGAAAATGGATGCCTTTGAGCTGTGGTGCTGGAGAAGAGTATTGAATATACCCTGGACTGCCAAGAAAACAAACAGATTCATCCTGGAGAGGGTTAAACTGGGCTGCTACTTGGAGGCAAGGATTCTGGGGCTTTGTCTGACAACTTTAGACATGTTGTAAGGAGGGACAGGTCCTTGGAGAGGGACATCATGCTTGGGAGGGTAGAGGGCAGGCACAGGACGGGAAGACCCTCTATGAGGTGGACTGATTCAGTGACTGGGTTAATTGGGATGGGTGTGTCAGAGGCCGTGTGATTCGCACAGGATAGAGCAGGGTTTAGGGCTGTTGTACATAGGGTCTCTATGAATCACAAGCGACTCGACGGCACATAATAATAACAACAACAACAACAACAATAACAACTTTCCTTAAGAGGGAGCGCAGATGACTTACTAGTAAAGAGCTGTGCTGCCAACCCAAAGGCATATCGTTCAAATTCACCAATAGCTCCATGAGAGAAAGATGAGCAGTCTCTTCCTTTGCAATTTACTGACTCTGAAAACCTGCTGGAAGGTCAACTATGAGTTGGTTCTGACTTGACAACAATGAGTGAGTGACTGAGTGATTCTTGTTAAAAATGCTAAGGACCTCTAACATGTTAAAGAGTAAGGATGTACATTTAAACACAAAGGTGCACTTAGCTCAAGATATGCTTTTTCAATTGCTTCAAATGTAAAAGCTTGATAATGAATAAGAAAAAGTATGCCTCTGAATTATGATATTGGTGAAGAATATGGAATATACACTATGTATTGCCAAAAGGACAAATATATCTATCTGCTTTAGAAGAAGTACACTCAGAATGCTCCTTAAAGGCCAGGAAGGTGATATTTTGCTTCATGTACTTTTTTATATTACCAGGAAGGGATCATCCTTAGAAAAGGACTTCATAAAAAAAAAAAAAAAAAAAAAAAAAAAAAAAGAAAAGGACTTCATGCTTGAAAAGCTGGAGAGTTTGCAAAGCAGAGGAAGATCCTGAGTGAGATGGATTGACATAGTGAGTGCAACAATAAATAATTACAGTGGAGATTTTGAAGACAGTACAGGATTGGGCAAGGTTACAATCTATTGTACATGGAGTTGGAATGGACACAACAGTACCTGACAACCTTCTCTAACATGAATGTTCTGCTATGTGGATACATCACATATATCTGCTTACTGAACTGAAACTTGTTTGTTTTGAGTGTTTTGGACAAAGAACATTTCTTCTACTCACATATAGTCACATCAATCCAGTAAAAGTTTTCCCAGCTACCCTATACTTCAAGGCTCACATCTCATTTTATTTCCTTGACTACTTCAGCCATGTTGTTGTTGTTATGTGCTATTGAGTCATCTGCAACTGATAGTTCTGAACCCCGTTCTATTCTGAGCCAGTCTCACTGTCTCTGACACTCCTGTCCCCATTGCCCTAGTCACTGTGTCAATTCATCTCATCCTGGGTCTTCCTCTCCTGCATTGCCCCTTCACCGTTTTAAACACGATGTCCTTTTTCAAGGACTGGTCCCTCTTAGCCACATGAGAGCTACAAAATTCTTGCCTCCAGAAAGCAACTTTGTTTTACCCTCTCCAGGACAGACAGACCTGTTTGTTCTTTAGGAGAACAAACACTGTCCATCTCTCTGATGGACAGCAAGTAAGTGCGAAGACCATGGTCTGGATCAGGTCGACCTTAGTCCTTTCTGAGCTGAAAGTCCATGTTATATATACCTCTAGCTGAATATTTGTCAAATATAATCTTGGCCAATGGTCCTTATCAATTATTGTTATTGGTATCACCTTAAATTTGCATAACGTCTTATATTTTCTCAAGTGCTTTAAAATTACTTACCGGTGATACAATAGATGATGACAATGAAGATATAAACAGAGGTGTGCATTAATGGAATTCTTTCTATGCTAGGCTTTAGATTCAGGAAAAACATAAAACATTTCTAACTCTCAATCATTTCCTTTACAAATAAGGAGATCACCTTTAAGAGGTATAAAAACTGCTCAAAGTGTTGCAATATCAAGTGTCCTGTATATCCATAATATCACGGCTGAGACACATAAACTTTAGGAGTGAAGCTTCAGGAGGCAAGATAACATCTTTTCTAAGGAGGCAAAAGTACAGATGGGTTTTTTAAGCAGTTCAAGCAAAAGACTTTAACACCTGTATCCAAACCACACCACCCAGAGTGGGAGCCTCTAAAATGCAAATTCTTAGGCGCTCCCTAGAACTACCTAGTCAGAATCTCTGGGGATGAGGCCCAGATATTTGCGTTTTAAACAAGCTCTTTAAGTACCTGACAGTTTTATTTCCTTGGGTGCCTTATTACCTCCATCTGAGTTTGAGCTCAGCCATGCATGGATAGGCACACAGTAAGCTAAATTACTGGGCACTGAGTCAACATGGAGAGCAATCAGTGGAGCAGATGAACTGGGATGAGCCTACTCCTTGGCAGGGTCCTAGGCAAAGGAAAGAATATTATAGAGAACAGTTCTGTTACTGCCAGTGGGGACTCCTAGCCACCTTGAGAAGGCCAGGGCACTTGTCCACTGGTTAGTGCTCCACCAGCCTGCACTGTCTTGTTCCTTATCTAAAGACACAGGGATGGAGAGGTCAGGGCCTGCAACCCCTGAAGCTGGAGATACACAGAAAGGGCCTACTGGAGTTAGTTGGGTTGCCACTGGCAGGTTGAGCCTGGCAAATCTGTATCCTTTACTATCAGAGGGGCCTATACTAACTCAGCTTCTGCACAACTCATCTTTATTCAGCCGCCACTTGGAGCTAAGATAAGTTGATTTATAATACTTCTCTGGCCACGTTTCTGTCGTGTTTTATTGTTTTAATTGTACATATGAGAGGCACTCTGAGTGCTCGCTTACATTTCTGACAGCCCCAGACACCCAATGTTTATAACAGTTTCTTACAAGCAGCCAGCGGCATCTCCGGCTGGGCAACTTGTTTACTGTTACCACTGATTTACTGCCTTCTCCACCTGAGGATTGAGGCCCACCACCCACTGGGGCCAGCCACAAGTGGAACTATACTGGAGTGGATATGGGTGGGGCTCAGAGTGTACCTAAGAATGTGGCTGAGACCATGAGTGACCTGGGAGAGGAGTGGCTGTGATCTCCATGCTCCTGTCCACATTTGTCCTATCTCTGCCTTTGCTCAAGCTTTGGCCTTACTCAGAATATATTTTGTTGCCCCTTTCCTGATCTTCCAAAGCTGAGCTCAAATCCACTTCTTGCAGGTATATTACTTGTTCTGATGGCGAGGCTACCAACTTCTAAACTAAAAAGACTCCATTGCTGTTAGTTGGTCTGACTCATGGCAATCCTCCACAGGGCTTCTGAAGCTGTGAATCTTTACAAGAGTAGACTGCCCTGCTTGGATTCAGACTGCAACACACATGGATCACAGAGCTGATGAGGACCTCAAAGGCTACATAATCAATGCCCACACAGGAATCCAATGAATCTTTGATGAGCAGACATCTAACTCCCATTACTGCTTTTGAGTCAATTTCTAGTCTTAGCCTCCATCAGGATTCTGAGGGTGCTCTGGTGGCCTAGTGGTTAAGGAGCCGTGCAGCAAACCCAAAGGTATGTGTGTGGTTCAAATTCACCAGCTGCTCTGCAAGAGAAAGATGGGCAGTTTCCTCTAGTGTGATTAACTGCCTCTGAAAACCTGCTGCAGGGTCAGCTGTGGATTGGTCTGACTTGACAGCACACAACAACAACAACAACAACAATGACATCAGGTTTCTGAGGCTTTACATCTTAAGAGGAGGAGATTACTCATGCTTCTCCCTAACAGCTACTGGCAGATTAGCTCTGATGATCTTTTGATAGCAGCCCAATATGTAAGACATAGGGGCCCCACCAGGGCTCCTTCCAGCTTCTGTTAGTCACCTTTAAGTGGTAATCTCCCTGAAATTAGAACTCATTCTAGGGGAAAAGAACTTATCTTCTCAAAGGGATCCATCATGGCCAAAAGATCAAGAATCACTGCTATTGTCTCTTCTCTAGTTCTGTCTTCCACATCCAGAATAGACCTTGAAATCTATGGTCTCCAGGATAAGGTATCTACTCCCAAGTGCTGTCTTATAAAGTCCTTCCTATGTACAGCCTTTTAACCTCAAGTTATTTCCTGCTCCACATCCTACCTCCCATCCCTACGTCACTGTAATGCGCTGTTCCTGTGTCTGGAAGGCCCACCCCTCCCAGTCTGCCTAGCAATCTCTGATTTACCCTCAAAACCTGATCCAAAGTCACTTACCCTGTGACATTTACCAGACACCAGTCTTCCCTCAGGCAGAGGTCTCTTTCCAGAGTGATCTACATGCCCAGTACACCTACTTTTGCCATTTATCATTCTGTACTGTGATTCCTTGCTCATAAACTCTTCCTTCTTACTTGACTGGGAACATGTGAGGACCTAGCTCATGTATATTTATTTCCATATTCTCAACACCTAGCGGAGTGCTTAATACTCAGTAAATACATGCCGAATTTTTTTTTATACTTTTTTTATTTTTTATTTGTGTGTGTACCATCAAATCAGATTTGACTGGTACAGGAGGAGATTGTTCCTCCTTCTCCAGCAAAGCATCTGGTGGATTTGAACCGTACACCTCTGGGATTGCAGTGCAGCTTCTTGCCACTAGGCCACCAGAGCTCGCTTGAATTTTAAATATTAGAAGCTAATAAGCAATTACAACTGCAGAACATTGTATAATTCACAAATCACATAATTTTTTATTATTACTTTAAAAAAATGTATATTGGTTTACTTATAAAGTTCATAAAGTTCTTATATGTTGTTTTTCACACTGGATCCTTCTTTCCAACAATACTGATAAGGTAGACAAGGATGCATTGCTGGGGTTTAGGAAAGGCTTGCCAAAGTAAAAAAAAAGAAACAAAAATACAACCAAAACACAAAGAACCTACAATCTACCACCTTCTCTGAATACTGAGAACAGACTGAGACTCACAGAAACATCTATTAAAAACCGGTGAACTTGAGGGACTTAGGCACTGTGTAACTATCTTTGCTCCAATACTGAAGGTCTGTTCAACTTTTCTGAGCCTATACGTTCTAAGCAAGGGAAGATGTTATGTACCTCTTGTTCTATCTCCATCCTCTTCATACTACCAGTTCCTCTTCCCCTCTACAACTTAGATAACTGCCTAAGAAAAAGTCAGTCCAATTGAAAGAAAGGAGGAGTACAGGCTGCTTTTGTCTCTATATACTTCATCAATGCAAATGACCCAGAGGTAGGTATCACTCACTTACTCCTGTCAGTTCCAATTCATGGCAACCTGCACACTGGTCAAATAGATAAAAGTGTAAAAGTGGGAAAAGAAAAACAAATAGGAAAAAAATGGTTAAGAAAGCTTTGAGTACTAAGGAGAGGGGAGAACCCTCAGATGATACTAAACGAGTGTAACATTCTAGGCCTGAGGGTCAGAAACAGAATAAATGTAGTCAGAGAGCAAAGCACATCCTGGCTGATAAACCAGGGAGAAGACGACAAACTGCCAGGAAATAGTGGCAAGCAAAGGTAGTCTAAAATTAATTAAAAACCCCAAAACCAGAGAGGCTGATTTTGTAAATGAAGTAATAGTGACTTCATCAATCACATCAGAAAAAAATGTCTTGCATGTATACGTTTAAAATGGATCTTAAACACTTCAGAGATTATTGGACCTCAGTATGGGTTTCCCCAAAATAAGACATGAACATGTCAGTATAATCTAATTTAGCTTTTGGAAACGGTTACTGAGAGAGAAAATCAAACAAATGCTAGGCACATTTTGAGTTTTAAAGAAATCTGAGAAAAATGTTTTACAATTTTCTGGATAAAATGGAGAAATGGAGGCTAAAAAAGAATTTTGGTTAAATAAAAATATTCCGTGAATGTTCAACAATGGATGAAAACAGTCTTGAAAGACAATTATTTTCTTTTTAAATGAACTTTTTATTGTTGAGTGAAGGTTTCCAGAGCAGATCAGTTTTCACTCAAAAATTCATTCACCTTTTGGGTGAAAGTTTACAAATCAAACTGGTTGTCCACACCACAATTTACACACATTTTCTTTTGTAAGACTGATTTTAATACTTACAATGTAAAAGCATTCATCCTACTTTCTCACTGTATTTCCTGTTTCCATGTCCTTTTCCTTTCTACCTTCTAAACTTTGTCACTAAGTCAGTGATATCCTTTCAATGTCAAGTGGTTGATTGTATTAATGAGTGTATACCTCCAAAGAATTGTTCACCTTATAGTCCTGTTTTTTGGCTGAAGGTTAAGTTATAGTGTTGGAGGTTCCATCAGTTGCTACCCTACCAGTAAGCTTGGTCTTTTTTAATGATAATAGGGGTTTTTTCCCCTCACATTTTTCTTCTATTTCTCTTTGCTCCAGATGGAGAAGAGAACAAGAGTTATACCTTAAATGGCCACTTTTTCTATTCCATATAAAGTTGGTTATTCATTTTTCCATGTCTCTGAAGAATGATGGTGGGATCTGGATTGGGATAGCACTGTATCTATAGATTACTCTGAGTAGTATCAACAATTTTACAATGTTAAGTTCTTATTCATGACCACAGTCTATTCCTCTATTTTTGTAGATCTTTTTTGGGTTCTTGTAGGGGTGTTTTATATATAT